ATTGGCCAATCATATCTTGTAAAATCACGGAATGATCTACAAAAATTAGCCAATCGGAATGAAAGCCCGCTATGCTGATCAAAACACTAACCATATTAGTTTACCAAATTAACCCTACCACCAATACTACCTGTGGACGAATCTTAGCGTAGACATCCTAAGAAATTAGAATGTGTATAAAAAGTTGCTCTCTCTCTTAACTCACGACCTCATTCATTCCATCCAATGTATGCTCTCTGAAATCGACTCAAAATAAAAAATACATAAATATCATTCTTTTCTATAATAAATGCTAATAACGAGTTTCTTTATTTTCATATCCTCTCTTACGTCAACCATCGGAGTTCTCATTTCATATGGGCGATCGAGCACATTTTGCTATATCTAAATATGATCAGATTAAACAAGTTACAGATAATATTAATTTCGATATCTAAATTAATAGATTAAAATAAACTAAATACTGATACATAATCGCAATTAGATTGTCATATTGCAACGTGATCATATTTAGATATCACAAAATGAGCACAATCCGCCCACATGCATTATTAAAAATCTGCAAAGATGGAGGACACTGAGGAATATGTAATGTCATATATTATTATTAAAATGGAATTGGAGTTGAAAAGCCTAAACATAAGAAACTCATTTGTTATCACAAGTTTTACTCTATTCATATTAAATTACAAAATCATTTATGAATCTAAGTATTTAAAATAATTAATTCAAGTTAGGAATATTTATTATTTGATTTCACTCTATTCGCTTATTTAGACAATGAGCATAGAGAACATTTATTAATCTAAATATTAAAATATGCTGTTTAAGTCACGAATATTGATTAATTAATTTTACTCTCTATTCACATTTATTTAATGTCTGAAGCATAGCATAGGATGAGCAAAGTGATTTTTCTGCATATACATGATGATTATATGATAGCTCTGGGCATTATAACTAGGAAAATAGAAACTATTTGAAGTCCGAAGGACTAAATATAAAAAAAATTAAACTGATTTTTTTATACGTATTACACCGTATCTAGCCTATAAGCATCGACCACCTATTGTTTTATTGTTTCTCTTTTATGTTACACCTGATCTAGCCAATCAAAATTCAGAATTTGTTAACACATGGACTATCCTGTTGGGAAGGTGAAAAGTGTTGGGAGGATAAATGTGTCGGCAGATGGATGTGTCAGAAAGATGAATGTGTTGGGCAGATGAATGTGTTAGGAAAATAAATGTGTTAGGAAAGTGAATGTATTAAAAAAATGAATGCATCTGGAAATAAATGCGCCGGGAAATGAATGTGTTGGGAAAATGAATGGGCCGGGAGTGATTGTCAGGAATGGTATTGGGAAGGGATTGTCAGAAAAATGAAGGTATTGGAGAAGTGATTGTTGGGAAAATGAAGGTGTTGGGAAGTAAGTTGTCAGACAAATGAAATGATTGTTGGGAAAATAAATGTCAGGAAAATAATTGAGAATCCCTTTTTTTTAGCATTATTTTTTTTTAAAAAAAAGCCGCGCGCCCGCGTCCCTGATCACTGCTCTATTATATGAAAACCAAGTATATAATTTTGTGCGGCCTTCATTCCGGCCTAATTTTTGATCGTCGCTCTTAGCCAATCAAAATCGATATGGGTTTGTTTGTCGAGTATGTAAATTCTGTGATGCGAAACACAGAATATCATCAGCCTACTATATAACTGGTTGTTTCTTTTTTAGGAGTTTGTATTACTGGCAAAAATAAACTCATTGGTGTACAGGTACAGTAAATTCAGTTATCTGTATGTCAAACCGTACGCACTTATGTACTTACTATATATGAGTTAGATGATACATAAAAAGGGGAATCGACAAAACAAAAGACCCTCGGGAAGATCTACGTAATTTCTTCTCATAACATAGAATTCTAAAAGTACCCGCCCGGCTTTTAATTTTTAAATCGTAAAATTTTATGTTTTTCTTTGTCTAGAAAATATTAAAAACGTATAAAAATTTTACTAAAACTCACCCTGAAGTATTTATGGTAAATAACTTATAAGAGAAAAATGATCCTAATTTTATTCTAAATTTATTTGTGTAAAAAAAATAAAAATAAAAAAACATTGAAAATTTGTCGACTTCCCCCTTTTCTGCCCATATAATACCCATAAAAACGTACACAGGACAGATATGGCAAGGTGGCTTAAAGTTGCTATTGAAGAAAAATATATTAAATTATTTGAGTGTGATTCTTTTCAGGATTGGAAAGAAATTGGTAGGGGAGGATTTGGCGTTGTATACGGTGCTTATTCAAGAGACATTGAAAAAACTATAGCTTTAAAGAGTTTTTATTGCGGCGATAACGATGTTTCTCGGAATAGATTTGTTAAAGAAGTATTTATCTTTTGTAATATTAATTTATATTTTTATTTGTCTTATTAACGTTTCGCTTTTTTTTTTTGGTTTTATTGCAGATCAAAAATATTACTAAAGTTTCATATCATGATAACATAGTGCGATTCTTCGGAATCACTCAAGGTATATAAATTTTATATAATGGAATAAGCGCTATTAATTAGCTAATAGCTTCATCAAATTAGATCCAAAAATCGAAACATACTATATGGTTCTTCAATTCGCTAATAATAGAGACCTTCGAAGTTATTTACATAATAATTACAAAGAACTTGATTGGACAACTAGGATTAAAATGGCAAAAGAAATTTCTAGTGGGTTGAATTGTTTACATAATGCAAATATTGTTCACCGTGATCTTGTAAGATGTTTTTTTACTTTATTTCTCGCTTTTATTGCATCTATATTAATAATATTATAGCATGATAGGAATATATTAGTGCATGATGGCAGATTGATGATCACGGACTTTGGATTGTCTAAATCATCAGATAATAACACAACATCAATTTCTGGTGGAACATATGCTTTCTCCGATCCACAATATCTCCAAAACCTATTTTCATACAATCGAGATAAACCTTCTGATATTTATAGTCTTGGTGTACTCTTCTGGGAGTTATCAAGTGGTGTACCTCCTTTTAATAATATATCTAATCAAAAAGAAATAGCATTATCCATAATTGGTGGTACAAGAGAAAATCCTATCAATGGAACTCCGATTGACTTTATGAATATTTATTGCAATGCTTGGAAGGACGATCCAAATTTACGTCCTCACATAAATGAAATCCTTAGTGAATTAAATAATATACAAATGACACCAGTTTATGATAGTAAAAAACAATATATTAATATAGATATTTCGAGTTACAACCATACAGATTTTATTTCATCTAAACAAAATAATGCAGACAATAGTAGTAATTACATTCATTATTCAGATAATTGCTAGAATAAATTTTAAATCTTTTTTTTTTTTTTTTTATTAACAGCTTATTTATTTTTACAGAACAACAATTTAATCAATTGCAAGTCGTTAGCCAGAACTGTGTGAAATTAAAGAATGGTGATCAGGTATGCGGATTATCTCAAGAATGCAATAAATGAAAAATATGATGGCATCTGATGAGCCATTTAATTTCTGCAGACTTGTAATCGGGAACCTTTAGACAATAACCTAGTTCGAATTCGTGTTGCAACACATAAAAGACACTCTACAACACACCTTCCAACAGCTATTCCACTTTATCACAAAAATTTATTTGAATTTTTTACACGTAGTACCACAAATAGTAAGTAATTTATCCGGTTAAACAAAAAAATAAATTGAATAACTTAATTTAATTGTATCATAGAAAATGGAGTTTATTACATCGGTCGTGAACTCACAAATTATGATAATCTGAGGAATTATCTCAGAAGGTATTCTCTAATCCCATGGGAAGAAAAGGTTGCATTATTATGGCAAACTATTGGTGGAAGAAAGTATCTTATCGATAACAGTGTTCCTATTGAATTGGTAATATTTTACAGCCATATCAAATATAAATCATTTTAACCACTATATTGTGACGTTAATTTTTTTTCTTTACAGGACCCGGAAAATATGTTAATACATGATTCGGTTCTAAAAATTACAAATATTGAAGATAATGTTCATGATGATTTTCAGCTTATTCGATATATTTCTCCCGAAACTTTTTCTGATGAAAAATCAAAATCGGATACCCACAGTTTTGGTATATTATTATGGGAAATATTTAGCAGTATCAAATCTTTTCAAGAGGATTATGATATTTTATATACAATTAAGAAATCTAAGAGTGCTCGAAAATCGTCTCTTAAAAATATTGATCTTTATAAACTATGTTTGCTTGATGATTTTGGTAAATGTAATATATTGAATGATACGATGATTTTATATTTATTTATTTTTTATTTACTAACTTTAAAAAAATTAATTGGTTAATTGCAGATAAAAGATCTAGTTGGAGTAGAATTGTTAAAGAACTTGAAAATATTTCTTTTGGTCAAGAATACATTGAAAATGCTGGATACGAAAATAAAGATACTCGTTTAGATAAAAATTTCTTGATTTTGTCAGATTTCGATTCATTAGAAAATATGAAAAGACAAATTATTGAATCGTTTAAATTGAATAAAGGTTGTAATCACGATGGTTTTAACTTTAATAATGCAAAGAAAGACATTTTCGAATACATTGAATTAACATCAGATAAAGTGAAGTTTATACCAACTGTTTATTTTGCAAAAATAAAATGTAGAACCTTGGGATTTTTAAATAGCCTCAATTTATCACCATGTCTTGATAGTGGTAATTTGTCTGCTGATTCAAATATTATAAAAATCCTCTTCCCGGTTAGAACAATAGAACATTGTGGAAATTTAAAAGATTATTTTGTCCGGGAAATTAAAACTGCGCTTAAGATTTCGAATATACGTGAAAAAAGGAATAGATTAAAAGAAATATTTAATGAATATGGTAAATTCGTAATTACAAAGTTCACAATAGGTGGAGCAATCACAATCGATTGTTCAAAAGTTAGTGCTAAAAGTGTAGAACGTTTACAAACATACCTTTACTGGGGTATAAATTGTGCAAAAGGTGAATCTCAGCCTATTCTTGAACTCACGTCACTCGATAATTTTCTAGCATTTGAAACTTTTCCATCGAGTCATATGGAAATTGTTAAAGATTTAAATTCTTGGGTAAAGGATGTGTATGATTGTAAAAACGTTGCAATTATATCATATGAAGGTTATAAACCATCTTATGATTTATTAGATAATGAATTAAAACACGAGATATTTGAATGCTTTTCCTTTAAACCTACCAATCAAAACCTTCCAAAGCTAATTCCACAACTTCCCACTGAATATAAGCAAAAGATTTTTTCAGAGTGGATATCAAAATCTTCATTATTATTTCATGAACATGATTTTATAGAAAAATTTTCATTACAATATGAAGTTTTATTGAGGGATTCAAAACTAGGATATGGAAAAAAAATGACTAAAATTTTGAAAGAGCCTAAAATTACCTTAGAGAATAGTACAACAATTTCATTCATTAATCCTCAAAATCGACAATTCACTTATTCATTACCAGTTATAGATAAATTTAAGTCTGATGAGACTTCTTATTGCATTACACCATTAAATTATTCAGCAAAAATTTCTTTAGATTTATCAGCTATCATACCTACCGATGATTCTTTTATATATTATGGAAATTATTATAGTCAGATATTGCCAAAGACCTTTTGTATCGGTAGTACTTTAACAACAACATATGAAACTTGTGATATTCCTGATATGCCTAACAAATTTTCACAAGAAATGTTACCAGAAAGAATTGAATCATTTTTAAAGGAGTTAAGGGAAAATTATAATACTAATACTACATCATTTCTTTGTAATGATGGAAGAATTATTAATCAAAATCAAATTAGAGATTGGTTAGAAAATATGCAATCCAATCTTGAAAATTTGGAAATTATTTCTTTTGAAGATTGGAATCCATCTTATCGAATGTTAAGTCAATTACGGGAGGATATAGGGTCAATTTCAGATAATGAATATCAGATTGTTTTTAATGAAGAAAACTTAATAAGTCGAGATAATCAAAATAATATGATCATTAAATATCCTCGTCTACTTAAAAATGATAATTATCATATTTATGGATATATTTTAGAAAAATCGGATAATTTGGAAGAATCTTGGGAAAAAACTCCTGCAGCTATTACATTTGATCAAACTAGCAAATACGAATGCAATGTGATTATTCATAAAAATAATAACTTAAAGTAAATATTAAAATTTATTATTATGTACTATTCTATGGTTATGAAAAACACAGATCAAATGAATGTTTAAAGAGAAATCAGTAAGCTAATATAAATCATTGATACAGATTCTTTCTGTTTACTCTTCATCCGACCTGTGAAAAATATAAACTTTTCAACACTTTTTTAAGCCCTAATTGATGTTTAATCCTAATCAATAACACGGATACCGTAGTGAACTGCCTAAAAAACTCGGAGCCTAATACAAAATACGCATAATTTCGATTAACGACGGATAGGGGGCATCCATAATTTACGTTAAACCAGTACAGTCTTGTATAAAAATATAGACCTTTAAGATAATTCCATATAGTATTATTTTGTATTATCTTTAAGATCCCTATAACAATACTGGTTTAACGTAAATTATGGACGTCCCCATATATGATATAATGTAGAAATTAATATTAAAACCATGCAAAATATTCTATTATTATCCCGGTTAAAAAGATGCTATGTAAAGTATCAGATCTCTTGGCCAGTTCACTATGGTAAAAATATTGTGTCTCATTATGTCTCTCGATTAGAATCTACCCGGTTGAATATTTTGTAAAATTATAACATTAATAGGTTAGAGTTTTAATACCCTGGCTCAACTCTCTCACATGATTTTTGTCAGGAGGAAATTTACAACTGGTTAGTATATTATTTACTCAG